AGAACATACGACATGCTTAAAGGAAGAACCCGCGATTACTCGCCATCTCAGATGGTGGATTAGGGGGTTCCATATAGACGACAAGGGGTTGAGTAACTCGACTGTGAACAAAAAAAGCACAAAAAACAACCTGCCCTAGATAGAACCCCATTTCGATCCCAGTTTGTACGTGCCCAATCAACTCTATCCGTGCCTTTAAGGTTGGTATACCTAGGGTATGGCTCTGGGTGCCTATGCTAGCCGCCCCACTAACGCGCTCATGGGTGCCTAGCGCCCTTCCAATGATCGTCCACTAGCTGGCACAACCCCCTTGCTTCCCCTCCCCTTCCTATCTACCACCTTGTTGAACTTCCCCAACTTATCCTCACTTTTCGGCTCTTCTTAAGAAGTCCTCTAGTTACAGAAAACTGCAGGTGAGCTGAGGCGGAGCTAAGGAGGGGAGGTAATTACCGTACTTGCAACATGAAACATGGTAAACCAACAAAAATCAACTGCCGAAAAGATGCTCCCCAAAGAGATAAATACGATCCCTTCCCTCCAGCGGCCAAATACGGCCCTCTCGCTGAGGACTCCCTTACACGTACCCTAGCTGGGATTTCTCCTCCTATGAATCGCATCCAGTGCCTTCCACACACTGTTGATATACAAATCTTCTTGTACAGCAGTACAGCACTGTCTGATTACCTTTTCATTTACAAAGTTTATACTTTTGTTAATGAATTCTAGGAGGAAAGGACACCGTCTAAACAGAAGGCAAATGCATACGTAAGTTACAACTTAAGCGAATCGCTCTATGCGGTGAATCTGTCTGCAATCTGTCTATCCAAAAACTAACATTTCCTGCCGATCAACCGTTTCCCATACGATTCCTTTTGCTGCCAGTAACTAATTGGAAACCCATTCCAGGTGGATAAAGGTTGGATGAAGTCGAACTATTGGCGAGCGATCGAGTCCGGGACGATGCACTACGTGGACGATGACGATCTGGTCACATTACAAAGCAATCGTAATTATTATTCTGAATTCTAGAGAAGGAACGCTGCTGTGTGTTACACGCCTCGTGTTACTGCCTCGTATGTGGGCGTGAAGGCCTCTACTGGCCAACTTCTCCACAATTTTACAGCATTATTCGATCTACAATACCCCTACCAAAGTATGAGTACAGCCATAAATACAGGGTCTTACCCATCGTACTGTATCTCGAAAAATCCATATTTTCTCATAATAAACCGAAAGTATTTTGTTACTGTACATCAGTTATGCACAGCGTTTCCTATGATCATTTTTTTGCAAGCTCAGTTCATCTTTCGTTCGTTTTTTTCCCACTGAAATTTTTTCCTACTGTATGTCCCGCATTGTGTGTCCACCACGGTTTTTTGCCCGACATCATTTTTGAGTTTTACCGTATCTTTGCTCAATCATATCTCTTCACCTATCTCCTCGTTTTCATTTCATCCTATGGTTTCCATTAGAACAGGGACATCGTCTTTGTGCGTGTCTGGTCTGTCATTCTCACAATTGGTTTTCTTCCCCCTGAATTGATGTTGAGCTGCTACAGTATTTTCGTTACGGTATACTGTAATGTGACTCGACTCGAATCGATTATCGATCGATTGATCGAATCTGATTTCTATCCGTGTCCATGTTTAATTGAATTTTCTCCCTTCAGGTTATGTTTACTCGGTTTGTGATCAGTTTTCCCGATGCATCCTCCAACACCTCATGTTACACCAGATACTTTCCATTTCAACACCATCAGCACTAGTCACGTCACCTGTGTCGATTTGTTTGTTGGTCCGATTTTCACCTTGACATTTGGTTCATTAATTGTTTGTTGCTACTCCAAAAATTGTGTAAAATCGTGAATAAAGCGAGTAAAGTTCTCGTGAACATTTTCAATTTGAAATGAAGGCGCTGTATAGAACTGGATGCGGTGGGGCAACCCACGAGGGTAGAGCGGAGCTCAATGGCTGCCGCGTTTTCTACCAATGGTAGCGACCCAGACAGTATCATAGGGCAAGTGGATTCAGGGCACATCATCGCTGGGGATTCCCAACAAGGGAGGTATTTGGTCCTGGGGAGGGGAAAGAGGTCATATTTAGCTTTAGGAAGGTTTTCTGTGTTGATTTTTCTAGTTGTTTCGCAGACGTGTACGGATGTCCGCTTGTTTCTTGGACGCTG